AATCTGATAAGGTAGAATAATTGAGCCCAGAGCATTCTCTGGATGGGTTGGTAGCTCTCCCTTCTTTTGACTTGCTGCTTATTTGTTTGTTGGATTGACTTGTTGAATTTCTGGCTTCCTCCCACCACCACATCAAGAGTTCAGGGGAATCTTCTTCTTCATGTCTTTCTCCAGTTTGTCATCCCCTCCCTCTCGCCCTTTCCCCCAAACAACCCTGTGAGGTAGGCTGGATTGAAGGACGGTTACCAGCTCCAAGTCACCAGCTGAATTGTAGTTCTGGCTGAGCCTTAGTCCGACACCATCATCATTCAACCATCTACCTGTTGTGGACTGCCAGAATTCGGACAGTGAGGAGGTGCTTGAGCAGAGACGGAGGGTTGGACTACATCAGGGCTCTCCAACCTTGGCAACTTTAAGACTTGTGGACTTCAACTCCCAGAGCTCCTCAGCCAGCAAAGTTGGCTGAGGAACTCTGGGAGTTGAAGTCCACAAGTCTTAAAGTTGCCAAGGTTAGAGACCCCTGGACTAGATGATCTACAAGGTTCCTTCCAACTCTGTTAATTACTGGAAGCTTTCAAGAAGAGACTGGACTGCCCTCTGCCAAAAATGGTGTGGGGGTCTCCCGCGTGGGCAGGGTGGGGGGTTGGACTAGATGGCCTACAACAGCAATGGCTAACCTTTTCTGCACTGAGTTTCCAAAATGCAGATGCAAATCCCCAAAATGCAATGCGTGCACATCCCCGGTGCATGTGTCCCACCCCCGTGCATGCATGGCAGAGACCCAAAGACCAGCTGACCAGCGGGAGGCATATGCACATGCGCAGCAGAGCTGAGCTGGGGCGACAGCTTGCATACCCACAGAGAGGGCTCTGGGTGCCACCTGTGATGACCCGGGGTGTGGCATAAAGGCAACACAGTCAGATAAGCAGTAAGAGTCCCTTTATTATCTACAACTTTTCCCCAATGTCCAGGTTACCTTCAGCTGGAGAAAAACTCTCCCAGGGACAGCCTTTAATGTAGAAAATTCAGTCTGAAAACAAAGTACATACAAACTGTAACTAACAATCCAAACAAACCAAGCTGAAGTAATTAACTTGACAGGGCAGGAGAAGGAATTTCAGACTTGAAAGCACAGCAAAACTCACACAGTTGGGAAGACACCAGGAACGCAGATAAGCCGATACAAGATAAATTCATGTTTGCTCCCAACAACCTGCTGTGTGCAGCTTCCTTTTTTATACTCTGTGTTCCCAGCTTTAGCTAATGAAGGGAATCAGGGCCCTTTCTTCCCCTGTAAGCCACGCAACCCGCATTGCTCCCTTCTCCGTTCCTCCTTGCGTGCCCTAGGATGAAGAGCTCTTCCTCTAAACTCTTTCTGCCTTGTTCCTACCTCTTCCCTGTTCTGCCCAGTCGGACTTTGCCCTTCTCCGGTTTCTTCCACAGCCAACAGAGCCACAGTCCCATTCCCTGTCAACTGTTTGGCTTCCCCCTCCAAGTCGGATTCCAACAGGGGCATGGCACCATCACAGACCTACGAGGTCCCTTCCACAACTCTGTCAATCCATTCATCTGTAATCCTGGGGGTGGAGGGAGGAGAAAGGGAGAGAGTGGGGACGGGGGAGGTCCTGTTCTTTCGGATCAGCACGGTGGGCGAATTTGGGTGTTTTCCAGATTCCTCCTCCTGTTTTTGATGGCAACCCAGGTTGGATGAGGAGGGGATCATTCTGGAGCGTTAACCCGAGATGAGGCAGAGGGAGAAACCAAGCAGGAAGGCAGGGATGCTGAGCTGTGGGTCAAAAGTGACGGCGAAACTTTTCCAAACTGGGAGACTCAATTTACCTTTAGCAGCCGAGCTGAGAATAAACACACCCGGCCTTTGTGTCTCCTGCTTTTATTAACCCAGTAATAAGCATTTTCACACGTTGCCTTCCCCCAGCTATGGCAAAGCTCCCGGCCTCTCTTTTTTTAAAGGTAGTTCTCGACTTACGACCACAGTCGAGCCCCAAATTGGTGTCGCTAAGCGCGACAGTTGTCAAGTTAATCTTGACCCATTTTACGAGCTTTCTTGCCACATTTGTTAAGTGAATCACTGCAATTGTTCAGTTACTAACATGGTTGTTAAGTGAATCTGGATTGCCCCATTGACTTTGCTTGTCAGAAAGTCGCAAAAGGGGATTATATGACTCCGGGATGCTGCAACCGTCATAAATGTGAGTCAGTAGCAGAAAATAATGGAATGTGCAGAGATGAGTAGATTGACATTGGCAATTAGAGAGCCAGAAGAAAAAGAATATTATAAAATATGGGATTTATTTTATCAATGGTTAGATAGGAAAATAGGAAAATGAAATATATTATAATATAAATATAATGCAATAGTAAAAATAATACAATGATAATGATATGTTATCATTGACTATTATGGAAGGAATTATAATATGAATAAGAACTTGTAAAAACTGAGATTTGCTCGAAAAGGATAATGTGAATTTGCAATTTAAGTCTAATGATGATGTAATAATAATAGAACATGACATGGAAAACTGATTAATATGAATATAAATTTAAATCTAAGAGGGAAAGACTATTGATATTGTGCACAAGAAATACACTGTACAACTGAAAGTTTTATTTGTTGTTTCGTGTTTGTTTTTGTTTATGTCTGTTGCTAAAAATATTTTTTTAAAAAATAAAGGAAAATAAATGTGAGTCAGTGGCCAAGCATCCAAATGTAAATCATGGGGATGATGTGATGTGAAAAAATCATCGTTAAGTCACTTTTTTCAGTTGTAACTTCAAATAGGCACAAAATCAACTGGACCTTCTTTTGTTAAAACCGGAGAAGTAAAGATGAGGTCATGTGTCCATGGGATGCTGCAAACGGCTATAAATACAACCTGGTTACCAAGCATCCAACATCCTGTCACCTGATTGGTGGGAGAGGAACATGAGAACTTTGAATTGGGGTCCTAGGTACCCCCAGGTAGATCTATGAATGGTTGCTAAGCAACCGGTCATAAGTCCAGGACATTTTCCAAAATGGTTTTATTTTTCTTGGCAACGCTGAGGGCTAGAAACCTGTTTTCTTTTTAGAGCCCGACAGTTTATAGACTTAAGATCTGTAGGAAGCCCCTGGATTGTTCGTTTGATCTCGCATCTTCTGAGCAGAAGCTCCTTAGCAAGTTTCCCCCAGCACAAACACGGCAGTTCCCCTCTCTATTGTTTCCTTTCTCCTGTGGGCTTCCAAGGGACTTCTTCTCCTTCTCGGTGATACTGGAAATGTAAACGTGAAGAAGTGACTTTTTATCATTTATGGTGGACAGATGACAAAGCAAAGAAATATTGGTGTAGGATTCAGAATCCAGAAAACTCTTAAAAGTGAATATAAAGATAAAACCAGAGACTTTTCTTTCACAGGCTTAATGGAAAAAGACTTGGAAAAAGAATTTGGAACTTTGATGCTCTCTATATATACTAGCTTGATACCCGTGCTTTCTTACGAAACTATGTGGCCGGGCTTCGTTTTTTGTCAGGAAAATAAGGGGGAAAATTGTGCCTCTGCCTATCGGCATCCATCGGTATTCATCTGGCTAGCGTCCTGTCAGTGTGTGAGAATTGAGAGCTGTGTGGAAACTGAAACAGTATTTGCTGTGTGAGCAAGAAAGAGACAGCAAAGGTCCTGGGTGTGGCTTAGCTTAACTGTTCTGGACTAAAGCTGCTTGGTGCTGCTGTGAAACTGAAACTGGTTTCCTCTGCTTGTATTTTGGCATTTGGAACAGGTTTCTTTTCAGGTGGGGAGGTAGAACTCCTTAGCATCAGAGCCTGTTGATAATAATACTATACAAAATACTAATGCTCTGGTGGTCATTTCAAAAAATCCTTCCTTAGTGAGCACTTAGAAGCCAAGAGCAACATACCTGCCAAATTTCAAGTTTGTAGGCTTTACAGTTCTGGAGATTTCGTGATGATGCCCGAGTGGTATTTCGCTTTTTTAACACACACACACACACACACATTTGTGTGTGTGTATGGTATTCAGCTTTGTTCGGGTATTTTCCCATGTCATTATAGTTGTGCTTTTAAAGTTGTAGCAACATTTCGGCAGAATCTCATCTGCCATCTCATCTCAAACGTTGCTACAACTTTAAAAGCACAACTATAATGACTTGAGAAAATACCCGAACAAAGCTGAATACCATACATATAAATACCCGCGAAAACTTAAGAACACATACACACACACACACACACACATATATATTATAATATATATATATGTATATATTAATATGTTGTTGGCAGCAAGATTACTTTATGCTTTAAAATGGAAGGATGCTTCCCCCCGACAATGAACAAATGCAAAAGTTGATGGAGTTAGCAGAGATGGCTAAATTGACTGCTTTGATCAAAGGAAAAAAATATACAAATATCTTTGTTTCTACCTGGAAACTGCTTCTGGCAGTGGTGGGATTCAACTTTTTTTTTACTACTGGTTCTGTGGGTGTGGCTTGGTGGGCGTGGCAGAGGAAGGATACTGTAAGATCTCCAGTCAGAGGTGGTATTTACTGGTTCTCCGAACTGCTCAAAATTTCTGCTACCGGTTCTCCAGAACTGGTCAGAACCTGCTGAATACCACGTCTGGCTTCTGGGCTTTGTGATTGAGGTAGAAACAAAATGAAACTTTGATTTTGGGCTTTACGAATTAGATAGATATAGTGTTAAGGAAATGGCTAGTTTAAACTGCTGAGTAAAAGTAAAAAGTTGTGGTTTGGTGTTATTCCTCTATTCTACTGCACCAAAAGGAGTCGGAAATCAATGCCTTTTCTTTCTCTTTTCCCCTTCTCTTCCACCCTGTTCTCTTCCCCTTTTCCTTCCCTATCTTGCCTTCTTTTTGCTTTTGCATTTTTTTTGGATATCATAAATTAATAAAATTGTTATAAGATATAAAAGGACTTCTTTTCTTCTCTTTTATTCCAGATTTCGGCTTCTCCACTGAGCTGGCGTTCACCATAGAGCCCAGCGACCAGATTGCTGTGCAGGAACAGCCATTGGTCTTGGATTGCCAAGTGGAAGGGATTCAACCCATTAGCATCACGTGGCGGAAGAACGGGATGTTGGTGGCGGTGGGCGTGGACCCCGTGACACTGGCCAATGGCTCCCTCTACTTCTCCCACTTCCAGAACCGGAAGGAGGATGGCTTTTCCGACGAAGGAGAATATGGCTGCGTGGCTCGGAATCGCTTCGGTCTGTTGGTGAGCAGGAAAGCTCGGATTCAGGCAGCAAGTAAGTGGCCCTTCCTTCCCAGCCCGAGGGACATATCTATGGCAATGATTCTCAGCTATCCAGGCCAGGTCATGGTTGTCCCAAAGGTGCTTTTTCAGGAGGCAGCTGGACTTTCTTGTTTTTTATTTTGAAGGCGTTTCGCTTCTCATTCCAAGAAGCTTCTTCAGCTGTGACTGGATGGTGGAAAATGGAAGGATTTATATTCCCTGCAGACAGCTAGTCTTTGAAAGAGGGGTCAAAGAGGCCATCTATGTCAAAACTGAACAGCCCTCTCCCAACAGAGGGGGAAGGATGCGACAACCTCTATCTCCAGTTTATACCACCGTCCTTTCATCAGTTCCAAGGAGACTCCACACCCATTTGCACTACTCAGGTGACCCTGAGGACACAGATAAGTGCTTCAAGGGCCCTCTGAAAGAATGCAAATAACCAGCTGACTGCAAGGAGTATAAATCCTTCCATTACTCACCATCCAGTCAGAGCTGAAGAAGCTTCTCGGATGATAAGCAAAACAACTCCGAAGAAAAACCAGAAAGTCTTCTTGAAAAACACTTTTTCGGACAAATGGACCGACCGTGGATGCATCCTGATGTCCACTTCTGACTGGCAAGGTTTCTAAGGTTTCCAGACCATATACCATTCTAGACAACTGGCTGTCCGATCTCTTCTTAAAAGCCTCCAGTGATGCAAGCTGTTAACTGTTTCACTGTTAGGAAATTTCTCCTTAATTTTAGGTGGCTTCTCTCCTTGATTAGTATCCATCTGTTGCTTCTTGTCCTACACTCGGGTGCTTTGGAGAATAGCTTGACTCCCTCTTCTTCGGGGCAGCCCCTTAGATATCAGAACACAGCTACCCTGTCACCCCTAGTTCTTCTTTTCATTAAATTGGACGTGCCCAATTCCAGCAATTTCATTCCTTCATTCTCCTGTCCCCTAATCATCTTCGTTCCTCTTCTCTGTACTCTTTCTTGAAAACGTCTTTTTTTATATCTGAGTCAAATGGTCTGAACTGGGCTACGTCATCTTGCCATCTGAAGGAGATGCAGAAAAATGCTCAGCTGCGGAACTCAATGTTTCTTTTAAAATCTATCAGTCGGCAAGAGTGCACCCCGATTCTGTACTGTAAGAACATCTCCGCTTCTATAGGGATAGCAAAACAAGTCTCTGATCTTTGTGAGAGCAAAGGGACTTGGAGTGATGTGTGAACAGGGCCTCTGGCAATCCATTCCCAGGACTTGTGTTAGCGTTAAAAGGAGCTTAGCATTTGAAGATAAACGCTGCAGTTTCTCAGGTACCTTCTCGTGCATGATAAAATAGGCAAAAAGGAAGAGAAATGAGAAAGAAAAAAACAGAAGTGTATTTAGGTCATAGGGTCTGGAGAGCATATAAGTATAGCTGTGAATTTATACATGTATAAAAGAGGCATGCTTCACTAACATTTCTTTTAATCCATCACCACTCTTACTTCTTTGGAAAGCTTAGAACGGCTGAATTAGCTATCGGTCACCCTTCAATCTATGTGAATCCATTGTTAAATCAGTTCTCTGTCATTTCTGCATGGATCTGCATTTTAAAAAAATCTGCATTAAACGTGCCTCTTAATGTACAATATTCTGTCTCTGTTAAATCTCCATTTATAATGTACTAATTCTATACATGTGCTTTGCTATGAAACTATGTGATTGGGCTTGGTTTTGGGGGAGGAAAATAAGGGGGAAAATTGTGCTTCTGCCTACCAGCATCCATCGGTATTCATCTGGCTAGTGTCCTGTCAGTGTGTGAGAGAATTGAGGGATGTTTGGAAACTGAAGCAGTATTTGCTGTGTGAGCAAGAAGGAGACAGCAAGTAGCCTGGGCGTGGTTTAGCTCAACTGTTCTGGACTAAAGCTGGTTGCTGCTGTGAAACTAAAACTAAAACCGAAACTGAAACTCCTCCTCTGCTTGTGTTTTGCATTTGGAACAGATTTCTTTTCAGGTGGGGTGGAGGAGTAGAACTCCTTAGCGTCAGAGCCTGTTAATAATAATAATATAGGAAATACTAATGCTCTGATAGTCATTTTGAAAAATCCTTTCTTAGTGAGCACCTAGAAGGTAAGAGGAACATACGTGCCAAATTTCAAGTGTGTAGGCTTTACGGTTCTGGAGATTTTGTGATGATGTGTGAGTGGTATTTTGCTTTTATCTATATAGAAGATACGCTGATTGGGGTTGAGGTTGAGGTTGGAACATGGAGAGGTTTATAAAGCCAGCTGCCAACAAAATAGGGAGATGCAAATCTGCTTGTCAGTTGTGGGGTCAGACCCACAGGTATTCAATCTGACAGCCTCCCAAACCTGAGCCACTGAATGTTTTCTCTCACCCACCCATGTCCTACTACATATTTGTACAAATGTACCGAGGAAGGTGAGAAGTAAACACACACACACACACACACACACACACACACACACACATACAATCCATGTAATTATAATTCACTCTGTGGAATACTTAATTCCCGCAGCACTGTCTTAGGCCTAAGAAATTTACCCGTAGTAGGCTATTATCAGCTTCTTATCTTTTTTCTCATCTCATCTCTTTTTTCTCATCTCCTCATCTTTCCTACTATCTTATCCTATTGGTGTCTATTGATTTATCACTTGTTGTTTATGATTAATGACTGTAACTGTGATTTATGATCGATGACCTATCACTTTGTTGCAATATGAGAGTACACCAAGAGATTATGCACTAGAGACAAATTCCTTGTGTGTCCAATCACACCTGGCTAATAAAGAATTCTATTCTATTCTATTCTATTCTATTCTATTCTATTCCACTCCATTCCGCTCCACTCTTTGTTCTGTCCTGTCCCGTCCCGTCCCAACCCAACCCAACCCAACCCAACCCAACCCAACCCAACCCAACCTAACCTAACCTAACCTAACCTAACCTAACCTGTGAACATCCCCAGTGTCAGGCCCAAAGAATCAGGGTCATAGGTTAAGTTGCAGTTAAGAAGATTTATTCCTCAAGCCTATATACACAAGAATCTGGACAACTAAGGTTCAATACTAAATTGACACCAGATAAGAGTCAATACAATTCATGACGGATTGGATGTAAAGCACTTGTGGGAATGTAAGGCTTCTAGGCTGATGGCTCACTTGACTCCACCTTTCCAGCTCTGCTTGCTCTTCTCCTACTACAAGCAGGGTAGTAACCTCACCATCCCTGCACTTCTCTCTCTGGAGAACTTGATCAAAATCACTTCTTTTTGGAAATCCGTTTCCGAGGCAAGTTCTCTTTCACCCAGCTGAATGAAAACAGATTGGAGGGGTTGGGGGCAGTTTTCGCAGGGTACTCGGATGCGCCCGTTAGCAGTCTGGGGACGGGTTCTCTTCCTCTCCGTGGCCTGTTTGTCAAAGAGAGGCAAGTGCCTGAAACTTAAATATTTTTTTTTAAACAGTTGGGTTGCTGTTGCCTGGGGAGGAGGAAGAGATGGGTGTGTGTGTGGGGGGGGGGGTCAGCGTCCCTTGCTTAAATAGCCCCGATTAAGCCTGAAACCTGGGATCTTCCCTTTGGTTCCTCCTCCTTCCCCCCCCCGCCCGCTCCCTCCCCTGCCTTGGCAGGAGCAGATGGCCTCTTGAATGCAGCTCGTAGACGGCACCGTTTCCCCTCTTCCTTTGTTTCCCTCCATTCTTCGGGGCTGAATAGAGCCCCGCCAGGGGAAAGGCAGATTCTGCTCACTGAGCCCAGCCTGGGAGACTATGGACGATGCACCAAAGGACGGGAGGCTCTCAAGAGGACTGAGAAAGAGGCCTCCCCAGGACCTCCGTCCTGAAGTGGAGAGGGGAAATTCCCCAGAACACACACACGCACACACACACACACACATACCGAGTATGTCCTTTCATTCAATTGTACCCTCCTCCCCACCTCCCTGCCCCCCCTTTTCATTTTTCCTGCATAGAAAAGGTATACAGGGAGGGGATGGTCTCTCTCTCTCTCTCGTCCTGCTCTTTCCCATGGCATTGATTGCTTCGGTCACTCTGGGGAGGGGATGTGGCGGGGGGGGGGGGTCACACAGGAAGGTTGCAATGTAAACCAGATGTAGGTAGTTTTCTCTCCCGTCCTCCTGCTTCTCCCATCCGGGAAGGCGCAAACCGTAGGTTTGGCTGTTTATTATTTCAGGCAATGCCCCCTCCCCATCGGGCTGCGAGTAAGGAGGACCTGAGTAAGAAACCAGGCTAGAAAACGGAAGGGAGGGAGGAATGATGCGCATCTAGGAATGCTGTTGATTTAGTTCAGAACCAAAGATGCTTCCCCTCCCCGCCACAAAAGGCAACTGGACTTTCTTTGGGTTTATCTCTGGAAACGTTTCTCTTCTCACCCGAGGAGCTTCTTCAGGACTGAAGGTGCTTCTTGGATGAGAAGCAAAACGTTTTCAAAGAAGAAAACTGTTCTGACCCGCGCTCTTTTCCAATAAATCAAACACAATCCAAAAGGAACAGAAACCTTGTAATGCTTTTACGAAATAATTAGCTGTGATAAGCACAAGCCTTGCCAAACTGAGCAAGACTTGCCAAAAGATAACAGACAAGAAATAATTTGCAAAATAAGAATCTTCAAATACAAACTCAGGATACGGGAATGTCCACGAGGCTGGAGTTTCAAAACGTCTTTGCCTTCTGCAAAGTACATTCGTTTCACAGCTGGCTTTTATCTTCTTGAAGGAGGGGCCATGACCTTGCAGCCTTACTCCCGAGTCGCCCGTGCTGTTGTAAGTGCTCTTTCCTGCAAGCAATCCTGCGTGCATGCGCACTTGGCACAGGCTCCTCGGGAACCTCTTCATCACTGCTGCCAGCTCCCACAATCTCTGAAGGCAGCAGTCCACTCCCTGATGGTCCTGGACCCTCATCTGAGTCCTCGCTCTCCTCAGCCATCCACACCCGCTGCCAGCTAACCACAACAAAAACTCAAGAAAGTCCAGTTGCCTTTTTTGGGGGGGGGGAACACCT